TCAACAAACAACATGGTAAAGTAACTTTAACATAAGTAACTAATATGCTTGTCTTGAGGCTATAATTTAGAGCACCAAAGTTTAACTAAATATCTTTAGTTATATAATAAATTAACTCTCTTATATCAGGCTGCAACTTCAGTCACAATTTCACATGCCAATTCCCTTTTAAGAACCTTATATGCCACCTTGTAAGAACAAGACTCAAATTCAGATGAAGCCTTAGTAGAACGTCCTAAAATGGTACATTTCGGTGGCTTAAAGACTCCTGAGTCGATAAACATCTCAGTTACTACATGTCACAGTCCAGCTGTCAAAAGTCCCATTATCATTACTTGCTACTATTTCAAGTAATGATATGATACTGTGCTATAGTCTTGTACACATACAACCAAAGGAAACTTCATCTATCTGGGGTCTATATTAAAGATGTTAGGAAGCAAAGATTTTTGGACATGTAACTTTTACCTTCTCAATACACCCAGTTGGGAAAGTACCTAATAGCTACATACCAAAGGCTGGATGGGCCCAGATAATGGGTCATGTTTATGACACAGTATCAAGTTTTTAAAATGATGCTCTTATTCAAGTGAGTTATTCTAAGGCAAGCGTAACATTAGACATCCTCCACCATATATCTATTATATGAACATCTGTTATAGCATTTGCAGAGCAGGAAATGAAATTCAGTTTATGATCCCAGGGAACTCATTAATGGAAGTCTTCTGGAATCTTATAAAAGATGATTATACCTCAAAGCTGCTACCTAAAGATTAACATAAGAGTAGAATAAGTAGGAAGAGACTACTTTGGACCCAGCCACATATCCTAAACCCAAGCCTTTGCCCTGTTAATTTTTTTAAAATATAAGCAAGGCAAATAGGCTGAAAATTACTAAACTCCAAAGTCAAACTTTATTATGGACCCATAAAGAAGCTGCAGAACTACACCTTAGTAACAGAGAAAACTATAAAAAGTCACCAAGGATAAACTACACTTTGAATATTGAATCAAATCACCAATATAAAAAATTAGAAATGTAAGCTATATAAAAAATTGACCAAAAAATTAAATTGGTCAATGGAGCTTGCTCCAGAGAATGCTTTCAAATATCCCTAGGGTTGAAATAGCAAGTTAAACCGTCTGATCCACTAAGTCTCTTTGAGAAGCAAGGAAGTAAAGGAAAGAATATTTCTAAGGTCTACCGTTCTGGAACAGAAAGTATGTTTGAAAAGATCCACAACACTATCACGGGTTACTCTTCATCATGTGCTTTACAGGTCAACCAGTTAGAATGGGAAGGGTTGTGAGAATTTTATAAGTCATAAAATATTTTGTAGGCCTTAAGAAGATTTAAAGTCATGCCATTATTTTTCCTTTACCAATATGACATCATTTATTATTTTTTCTTTTATATAAACATGAAAAATACTGGTTAAAATACCTTTTGTTAAACTATAAGCTATGAAGCCATCTTTATAAAATAATACTAATTATTATTTTAATGTGGTTAAGTATACAAAATTGGATGATTCATTAGGGCATTCATCATTACCTGTCTAGGGCACCTTCTAGATGTTCATGGGAAACATCAAATAGTAATTGGTATGCTCTCCACTAGTAAAAGCATTTGAACTTCCTGCATGCTCCACTGAGAAACTGACTGTATTCATTTTCTTTAGGGTACTTCTTTGTTCCCAAAAAAACATATGTTCACAAAAATGACTTAAGCAGCAATATTTGTGAGGATCAGACAATGAACCTGAAAGAGAAAATACATATATAGTGAACCTTTTTTAATGTTCAAGCTAGTAAGCAGCAATGAATTACAGATAATTTAGACTTCTTGTTAGCATGACAACTCCAACCAACAATCAGAAATGTC